TATATATATATAAACATAACATGAGCAAAATATTTTGGCTTCCACCAAAAGATGAAACAGATACATATGATACACAAACCACACATGTATTTAGTGTGTAAATAAATGCACACACCAAGTGTCATAAACTTTTGTGGACTTGCAACTTTATCTTTTGTTGTTGTTTGGTAAGTTTTTGTTGCAACAGACTAACCTAGGATACTTGCTTAGCATTTATATCTTCTTTTCATACATTCTGGTCAACGAAAAGTTTCTAAAGGATTCCAGACAAGGAAAGAAAGAAAGAACAGAGAAGCAAAGTTTGTGAAATGCAACATTTTGTGTTGCACTACTCTTCCTTTCTTTGCTAAATGCAAACTTTGGAAACTAAAATGTATCTCTTTAAACTGGAGTTTTTCTACAGTCCTTTGTTTCAAAGGGGAAAAGGGATGCATTTGCATCCTCTTCCAAATATCAAAAAGTCTTGGGCTTTTTAGAAAAATGTATTTGTTGTTGTTGTTGTTGTTGTTGTTGTTGTTGTTGTTGTTGTGGGCCTCCAAGTCATTTTTGACTTACGGCGACTCTAAGGGGTTTTTCTTGGCAAGTTTCATCGGAGGGGACACTCTCTCAGCCACCACAAAACAAGTTTTGGGGTTGGATGCAGTTGATTGTGTATGTGTAATACACACAAATACTGTATCATATTCAAAAATGCACCCATAGGAAAATAGAGATAATATATAATCATATATATATATATATATATATATATATATCAAATCTCCCCTTATCCTAAGTCTTAAAATAGGTCCTCCCTCAACAATTCAGATCCCATTTTGAAAGGAAGGAGAGAGATAAACCCAATTGTTAAATAAAGATAAAAATAAATAAACTGGAACGCTTCCACAAAATCTGTGATGGCTTGTGTCCTCCCTAAATCTGCAAAATCCTAAAAATGTAGTATCACTCTCTGCAAATATTTCAAATTTTGGAATTCTGGATAAGGGGGGGCTCAGCCTGGATAACATTTTTAAGAATTTGTGCATGAAACAACATTTGTTTAGTTAATAATTTGTGCATGAAACAATATTTGTGTAGACCAGGTCCTCTCAAACTTTGGTCCTCCAGGTATTTTGGATTTCAGCTCCCAGAAGCCCCAGTCAGCCTGGTCAACAGTCTGGAATTCTGGGAGCTGAAGTCCAAAATACCTGGAGGACCAAAATTTGGGGGGACCTGGTCTACACAAATGCTGTTTCCTGGGTAGATTATTTAAAATGTCCAGGCTGAACCTCCTTTATCCAGAATGCCAAAATGTGAAATATTCCAAAATATATCCAAAGGACTTAAGTTTGGACCATCAGAAAGCAAAGGCATCGCTATCTCAACCACCCACAATTATGGATTTTGGGATTCCAGGTAAAGCAGAATCAACCTGTGCCTGTACTGGGAGATACGGCCTGCCAGATAGCATGGACTTTTTGTGGGATGTGTGTGTGTATATATATATATATATATATATATATATATATATATATATATATATATATACATACATACATTGCAGCCGGTTCCCCTTGTTTTCTGTCTCTCTCCAAACAAGGTAATCATGCAATCCATTGTGTATATGTATGTATATATATATATACCCTGCTCTTAAACTCATTGCATCCGGTTTCCCTTGTTTTCTGTCTCTCTCCAATCGTGCAATCCGTTGCACAAACCCAGACGACTCATTCCAGGGTTATGTGTGAGTTGAGTCCACAAAAGTTGACCTTGCGAAGCATGACTGTACTTGAAGTGAGCGAAGGCCCATCTGAGCACATGGCAACCATCCCACTAGGTTGAAGTTAACTCTCTCCCAACAAACCTGGCTGATGATGCCCTTTGGACTAGTTTTCAAACTGCCCACAGGTTCCCTTTGCCTGTTACAGGACAGGATCCTTGAGTTGGAAGGGACCCCTAAAGGTCATCCATTCCAACCCCATTCTGCCATGCAGGGACTCACAATCAAAGCCCTCCCTGTGAGAGATGGTCATCCAGCCTCTGTTTAAAAACCTCCAAAAAAAGGGGAATCCACCACCCTCCGAGGCAACTTATTCTACTGTCGAATGGCTCTTACTGTCAAAAATTCTTCCTAATGTTGAGGTGCAATCTCTTTTCCTGAAGTTTGAATCCATTGCTCCATGTCCTAATCTCTGGAGCAGCAGAAAACAAGCTCGCTCCATCCTCAATATGACACCCCTTCCAATATTTAAACATATTTGTTTTATTTTATTTTATTTTTCATTTCTCCCAAAAAGGGACCCAAAACGGCTCACAAGATTAAAAATACTTTAAAAACTTTAGTAGTTTTTAAAAATTAAAATAACCTAATTAAAACAGTAGAATTCAGAGATATAGCTGTATTAATCTGTAGAATCAGTCTGTAGGGAGATCTAGTAGCACCTTCAAGACTAACTGAAAGAAAGAAGTTGGCAGCATGAGCTTTCCTAGACGAAAGTCTACTTCCTCAGATGCATTTAGTGGAGTGGAAACCAGGGACAGACATATATATACCATGGGTATGTGATCTCTCTACATACTATTTAAAACAGTATAAAATTAAGATTTAATATTATTATAAATTAAGATTTTATAATGAACATGGCTATTATGTCCTTGCCAGGTCTGGACCAAAACCCTGGAGGATGATTCTCCGGCAGTGCCACATTTTTTATTTCTCTACAATATTGCTTTTTGGGTGTTTCTAGTCCATGAGAGTCAGCGTAGAGACCGGGGTTCAATTCCCAGCTCGGCCATGAAACCCACTGGGTAACCGTAGACAAGTCACACTCTCTCAGCCTCAGGGGAAGGCCTCCTCTGAGCAAATCTTGCCAAGAAAACCCCAGGACAAGGTCGACTTAGGGTCGCCGTAAGTCAGAAATGGCAGGAAGGCACACAACGACAGCAAAGTCCATAAGAACATAGTATTCTTCCCCCATCACATGTCGGGGAGTTCCATAGGTTAACATACGCAATGGGAAGGCATGCTGTCTCTTAAATGTCTCTTCTTTCTCTCTCTTAGTTACACCATGTCTTCGGAAGAAAGCAGCGATGCAAGTCATGCCGCTCCGGAGAGCAAAGAAGCCGAACAACAGGTGAGTGGATTTAAATGCGAGACAGTGTGACCTAGACAGGTGAGCTCCAGGTTTTTTGAAGGACTATAGTCTCCTCTACAAATCTACCTATGTTTTGACATTTGTGTCAGTTCGCATCTATCAAAGAATTCCATCTTTTTTTTGTCTCCATCCCAGATGATGATGATAATAATAATAATAATAATAATAATAATAATAATAATAATAATAATAATAATTTATTTCTACCCCACCCCTCTGTCGAACAGTTGGGATGGCTTACAACAATTAAAATTACATAATCTCAAGATACACACTAAAATCCCCAAACCCGCCCTCCCCTTAAAAAAGTATTAAATCAGAAATCCATTAAAACAGCATAATAAAACATCCAAATTAAAAAACAGACTGGCAGCAACAATAGGAGAGGTAAATTAAAAAGGCTCCTGAGGCTGGGAGTAGTTAAAAGAAATGACTAAATGGAGTGCATGAATATCCATCCTCTAAATCTGTATTATTTTTAATTATTTTTATTTCCTGGCCAGAACGCCATTAGTCGGGTA